TCATTTGTCATTTAACCCTTTGGGGTTAAGACGCACATTTTGCATCTAGAGATGGTAAATCCCCGGTGCATGTGCAATCTTCTTTTCCAAAAACAAAAAAATGAGACAAAAGATTTGAGAGCCTCGTGAATGAACACGATTCAGGTATGATCGAACCTGGAACAGCTTCAATAATATTAATTAATATTCTCATCATTACTGTGTTAAAGCCCTTCGTAGCACTTTGACTTATGGATTCCTCTCCCGGTTTAAAAGGATTATACCAGGCCTGAAACTCAATTACCTTTTCAATCATGGCAAAAGACAATACGGCCTATTAGTCTAATTAGAAGTAATTATACATGAAAGCGTATGCTTAACCACAGCAATAACACATTTGTCTCAGCAGATGTCTGCAGTCTGTCTTCTGAAGTCTGCCTTGTGCTTTTCCAGCTTATCCGAACACTGAGAGGAAACCGTTTCTCATTGGCTTTCAGACCAGACCAAGTCTCTCAAGTTCCTTTCCCCTTGTCTTCCTCTAGCCTTGCCATCACTTCATATCAGCTGAGGGAAGAGAAACAGAAATGCCCGGAGGGCATTCCCAGAAAACAGCAGCTTGGCCTTTTATTAAAAAAAAATCTAATTGGGCAGACAGCACACATCACAGTTTAATGTAGCTATGTACTGTAGCCATGTATCTGTATTTACATATGTCTGTTGTTGACACGTTGAGTATCTTATTCTGTTTTCAGTTCTGCATTAATGTCTTTGCTTGTTTGCTCTTTAAATCTTAGATGATATTCCAGTGCTTACCATCAAGAACACTTGATCAGGATGTTGTGTGCTGTTATATAGGCCTATGTGTTCTGAATTGTGTACCCATGCTGTGCTCCTCTCCTAATGTACGTACTGTACTGTGCATTAAGCTCCTAGGAATATTTTCATGAGACTTACACATTATAGGCACATGTTTACATCATTCAACTGTTTAAATCCCCCCCCCCCCAAAAAAAAAAAATGGAAAATGGCAAAATCATTAAGGTTACTCACGTGCTGAAAGAATTGAATGTCCTATTTATGGATACAAATTACGACCGTTTAAATTAGGTCGTAAAGCGAGACTACAATGAAAGCAGGCATGAGTCTGTTACAACTTTCAAAACCAAAGATGCCCATTAGCAGAACACTTTCCAGGTTGTTAGGTTGTTAGATATACTTCTTGAACAAGTGACAAGAAATCAAGCAACAAAAGGACCAGCAAATGAGGCAAAAAACTTAGACTTTGGGCTGCAGCGAACTGTCAGAATCCTTACCAGGAATAAGCGACTCACTGATAATGGATGGATATCCTGTTCTCTGTGGAAGAAACAAACTCGAACTGCACAGGGGAGTTAAAAAAGTAGCCAACCCTTTCAGTGTCTGCTCAAACCTATTTAAGATCTCATTTAAGATCTTGCTTAACTCTCTTTAAATATGCTTTCTAATCTTTTATTTAACTAGATAAGAAAATTGAGAACAAATCCTCATTAACGATGATGACCTGGAGAGGATCAATTTATACACTATATTTCTGCATTTTGCAGGAGCAATCTAAGTGAAAATTCTTTGCCCCAGTGGTCCAGCACTCCACAAGAGGTTTGAACCTACGAGCTGGGCCCATGCCTGACCACATCTCCAACACTGCTGCTTGTCTGAGAAGCACAGCCACATTCAACACAAAATATATTTTTAATGACACTAATTTTAATTTATATTATCCAAACTAGATTTATTGCATAAAACAACTGTGTAAGAAGTATCTCAAATCCCTCAAAACCCATTTTGCACAGAACCATAGTGGTGCACTAGAGGAGAACTCTGTCGGCTCTTTCACATACTGGACATTACTTTGTTCCATTGGCAGAGAGTGATGGGAGACATCTATAAGGGCTCTTGCTTTAATGATTACTATTAAATTAACTATTAAATCAGTTTCTACTTCAGCGTACCTGTATACAGTATATATATATATTGCTTACACACTCACACACATACAGTATATAGGAAGACAGGAGAATTAAAAGAATGGCAGTATAGCACCAGGCAAGCCATGTGAGAACACAAACTGCTTCTGATGGAATGCATAGACCTGTGTTAGAATAGGAGGTGTTGCTGGGAATTCTCGGATGACTGGATGTACCATATGCTGGAGTTCAGAGGAACACCATGGGATAATTCTAGTCATCTACAGTACATTCCACTTTTTATAGGCCAGTTCTGTAATGATCTGTTATACTGAAATGCATTCATCAGTGTGCAAATGCATAATCATTCACCGTGCCAGTGATCTGAAAACATTGGCCAACATACTGTACAGATGTGCGATGCATCCATCCTTGAAAAAGTCTGCACCTTTCAACTCCTTCTACTGTACACCCACGAATCAGACAGTGCAGGGCAGCAGCACAGTTTCATTTGAAATTATTATTTTGAAATTGAAAGGTCAAATTCAGATTAATCTGATAACTGTGAAAAAAGTAAATAATTAAAAAATCTTAAATTATTCTTTCATTACAAAATATTTTTGTTTCTAACATTTGCACAGAAATACTCAATGGGAATGCGCTCTCCTGGTAAATTCAGGCATCATAACCATGGGAATTATACAGTACATGAACGCTAGATGCTCACAGATTTTTGTACAGACCTCTAATTCATAGGAGGGGTGCACAAGAAAAATATCAGAAACAAAGGATTTGTGGTGAACTCTCAACTGTATGTGATCAAGATGTTCAAAGTAGTGCTTGAGAGCTTCAGTTCAAGCAGTCTCGGTTGCTGTACATTACCAGAGAACACAATGGTCTTTAATAACCAATGGTGTTTAACACACAGTCATTGCCTTGTGTGCTATGTTAAAAAGGACTGAAGCTTCTTAAATGCACAAAAGAAAAATAACATTTCAGGAGCAAGATAAGCTTAATATGAACCATTAGTACCAAGCACTTTTTAATGACAGTTTCTTATTAGTTTTAAGTTTTTTCAAATAATGGACCAAAACTACTGTACATTTCCTGCTTCCCCCTTTCCCTTCAGAGGTAGCCCATCAGAGATTCTACCAGGAGACCCTAAAATAAAATCAGACAGCTATATTAGAAGTCCAATGTAATAAGAAATCAGCAGCACCCAGAGACTCCACCATCTCCCCACTGAAACCATGGAACCGCAGTGGATATAAATGATAATAAAGGCCACATTTGTTAGGCACTGGATCTATTCTACTAAACTGGCTCTTTCTCTCATATTGATGTACAGTATGGAACCTACTGTAGCATATTCACTGCTGTGGCTAAGTAAGATCATATTTATTTTTCACAGCTTTTAAAATAAAGTATTTAACCTGAAATAATAAAAAAAGACTCAAAATTATCTGCAAATATACTTAAACTGAGTTTCACATCTCTGGATTTCACATTTGTAGTGCAAGAGTCCCTTTGTTCACCTCCACTCCTTGAAATTACCCCTTTGTTCACATACATGCCTTGTTCTTCTTCATTTCCTCGGAGAGAGGAGATCTGGCCTGAACTCTCTGTTCTGCCTGCTCTTACAAGCAGCGATTGAACCAATGGTTTTCAATTTGCAGGGAAAAAGACTGTTTAAAGACCAAATTAAACTGAACCAAAATGAAATAATGCAAAAACAAATTCCAAACTACTAATTGAACCTTATATTGCAAAACAACATAATTTCACCATTATCGATAGCCACTTTATCCTACGGAGGGTCATGGCAAACTGAAGTCTATCCCAGAAGCAAAGAGCACAAGCTAGGACTACACTATGAACTGGATGCCTGTCCATTACAGAGTAGACACACATACACCTGTATGGGACATTTAGAGACATCAATCAACCTGGTCATGATGACATGTGAAGGTGGGAGATGGCAGGAAAACCCCATGCAAACACATAAAGAGTATGGAAACTTCACATAGAAGTCACCCTAGCTTAGAATCAAACCGAAACCCCAAGTGCTGTGAGGCAACATACTGAAAGAACGTTTTCTTTGTTAACCATGTGAGCACAATTGTGTTTTACAAAGCTTTGTTGATTAATGTAAATGATTGCTTTTTCATTTATGTGACTCAAAAATACTATTTATCTTACTGCTCTAGCTCTTCACTCAAGTGTTTGTTTTCATTAAATAATTGACTTGACCACAAACTATAGAATCCATTCTTTAATAGTAGATGAGTTATTATGTATCTTGGCAATTATTGAATAAGCCTCCTAATCAATTTGCTTCCTAATTCCTAAAAATCCATATTGTGAAATATGCATGATGATTTTACCATTTAACTAAACAGAATTAGTATTGATATGAAAATTCTGAGGTTGGGTATAAATAATAAATGTTAAGGCACACCGTCTCATTACATAGCCTCTATTAAAGGCTCCTTTTCAAAGCACAGACTGGCAAAGCACTGCCACAGTGATCATGATGTCAAAATACTAAAAAGAATGTGTTGCATTTGACACATAAGCAAATGAAAAAAAAGATGTAAAACACAGGCCTCAATATCTAACCATTTTCAATACATCTAACCAATTCTAGTAAGTAGTTTAATTAGTCAAAATAACTGGGGCAGAGCAGTGGCACTTGCGGGTAAGGATCTGGGCCGGTGGCTGGAAGGTTACTGGTTCGTATCCTGCGGGCGGCAGAGGAATCCTACTCTGTTGGGGCCCCTGAGCAAGGCCCTTAACCCCAGCTGCTCCAGGGGCGCCGTATAAATGGCTGACCCTGCGCTCTGACCCCAAGCCTCTTTCTCCCTGCCTGTGTGTCTCTTGGAGAGCAAGCTGGGGTATGTGAACAGGCAAATTCCTAATGCAAGAAACTGTATATGGTTAACAAACATATCTTAGATACACATTTCATTTCCCGCAGACACTTTTGAGCTTTTAGAAAAGCTGCAGGATTCAAGCTCTCCAGGACCTTGGCCAGTCACCCGCTGTTGTCTGCTCTCTGTGTGTGAAGTATGGACTCACCATGGCCAGTGGAACAATAGCCCCCAGGTCCTTCTGTGCCAGGTGGATTTCCGTCTCAGCTTCTTCAGTCAGGGTCCTTGTGCCTGGATACTCCACTTGCCATGTCACAGGCCTGGTCCCTAAAGGGCCCAAGAAGCTGTCTACTTCCAGATCCACCTGCAACACTTTCTGGAATGCACCTTCTGCCCTGAGGAAACAAAAGAAAAGAGAGCCATTGCTAATTACTGCACAAATGGACCTGGTCCAGAGCATCCCACATTTTAAGAGTTAATTCAAGGAAAGAAAAGACAACAAAACACTTAAAAAACATACAAAAAGAAAACACTCATAGATCATAGGCAGTTTCTTTTAATGGGTACTGTATAATAATAGCCCTTAGGCTTTTGCTTGGGGAAAACTTATTTGAGCACTTTGCCATGTTTATAATAACACAATTAAACTACACCATCAACAGTGTTCAGCAGAACTATATTAAGTCTGGTAAATGTAAAGCATCAATAAGAAAAATTCTCCATGACTCTCTGGAGCATGGAGTTTAAATATAGCCTAGAGGCACGAAAGGTCAGCCTTACATGTAAGCTACAGTATAAGAGAGGCCAAATGGCATAAGATCTATCAGTTCTGTCTGGTACATCAAACACATACTGTGAGTCTCAGCCGATAAATTCTTATTGACTGCTCCATGCCATACTGATGTTTAAGAGTGTTCAAGTTGATACAAAGGAGGTTAGAGAGCTTCCTCACTAAAGTCTAAAAAACATTTGCATTTCTTTTCTGCTAAAAGAGAGCAGTGTCAATTGGTTTGGAGCTTTTATTCCGGTTTACACCTCACAAAAATTGATTTACTTATTTTTTATATTAAGGCTGGGAATATTGTCACAGTGGATTGTGTTCAAATCCATGATGCTTAGATTTTCCGACCAATGTATTCAACTATCATAAACAAAACAGAAACAAGATACATGCTGGCTGATAAATGGTTTATAACAGAAGTGGGTTGTAACAGTACTATGTTTCTTACAATATACTGTACATTAGACACTCTACTTGCCCATAGCACACTTTGTCAAAACATATGCACTTGTAGATACGCCAAACAAAAGCCCTTAATTAAATTTCATGATACATTACACTTCAGAAACGCCAAACTGCTGTAAAAGAAAGTGTTAAAAAGTGTCCAGGCCAATAGTCAGACATCTGAAGAGATGGCAGATTCATTGAGCAACTCAGCTCAGTGCTCTCTAGTCATTCTTCATCTGGATAGACAACGAGGAGCTTTAGGTAGATCAAGGGCAAGTTTCCAATATGAGACAATATGAAATGCACCAGCCTTCCAGTCTACGAGGATCTCTGGATGTCTGTTTATGTCTGAATGGTCATTGAATGCAAACATCAAGTAAGACACTAGAGGCTTTAACCATCCAATAATGCTGGAAATTAAAATCAAACAAATGCAGGGAGGTAGGGAATGAATAAGAGTTCACCTTGGGGTTTGAAGTACAAGCTACGGTTACTGAGCATGTTTGTGCTTGTGTGCAGAGGCCCATGTCTTTATTTTTCTGGCCTGCGGACAGCGCTACTGAAATAAACAGCATCACTGTGATTAAGCACCCAATGAAAACCTTTAGGCTGTGCATTTCCTGGGAGAGTGGCCTCCTTTTTTTTTTTAAACGCCACTCTTTGCTCCAGACCATTTTAAGTCTACTGTTTTATTAAAAATTATTTGTACAAATAAATGTAAGTTTATTTTTTCAGATAACATTAAATATAAAGCATTAATGCATTAAGTCAGAAGATAGGTAACCTAATAAAATAGTTCTTAAGGCTAAAACATATGCAGCATTTGTTTTATTTCTTACTCCATAATTGTTATGTACAGTACAGTATCTTACACTAAATCTTTATGCATAGAAAGATTTTAATGTGAATACAGAACAAAGCAGAAAATGACTCAAAAAAACAAAACAAATCTACGGTGTACTGAATATAGACCACACTCTGCCTGTGGAGTTTTTAGCTTGCTCTTGCATTGTGATGTGATGCCACACATGGTGGTGGTGGAGCACAGAGTTCTTGAACTTGCTAAATGAGAAGTAAAGTAATTTCAACCTTCAGGCAACTGGAAATTTAGAGCGACATTCCCCAGGATTGTGTGTGCAAACCTGCTGACCACCTGCACCTCCAAACCCATCAGAATCAACTCCTCTTAGACATGGGGTGAAGTACAATTCCCTCCCAGTGTGGTTACAGGGCATCTTACTACCTCAAGAGTCGTTACCCAGGCTGACAACGATCACAATGATGTAGCTTTTTTTCTCAAAGACTCCTGGACACTATCACGTTCCATTTTCAAGAGTAAATAGAAATGTGTGCTGTCCCAGGGTGCACTACTTTTTCAACAATCTAAGCCCATTACTGAACAGGCAGTACTCAGTGTGAATCAATATCTCACATGTAAAAGAGAAACAGGGTTTTTCACAAACCATTCTGAAGGGGGGAGGGGGGGGATTTTCAGAAGAATATTCCATATTTCAATATGTGGAGTCTTCCAAACACAATTTAAATTACATATAAGCTCCGGGTGCAAAGATACTTTTACATCAATGACTCACAATATAGAAATCTACAAACAGCTATATGCTTCATTCATAATAGATACCTTTTAATGTATTTTATTAGTTAAGTCAATGGGAATGATCAAATGCAAACCTTATCTTAAAATCAACCTTAAATTACAATAGAATTGATTCAAACCAGACACCAGAGGAGGTAATAATCCTCAATAACGCATAAAATCTGATTGTCTTAGCTCATTTAAAACAAGCCCTAGTAGAGTTACTTAAAGAATCAATATTCACAAATAAGGTAACATTCAGTTTTTCTGCATTATTTTTGGCTCTTGGGAAAATAATACAACCAAATGGCATTTTTGTATTCTCAAAAAACAGTGCTTTGTGGTTTGCATTATTTATGTGACAGTAGTGATAAACACCCTTTGAGGCAGAAAATTGTTTACACTGCCCAAACTCAGGCAAAAAAAAAGAATCTGCCTACAGTCTACATTATATAGTTTTTACAATACCCCATTTTCAGGTTTCAAAGAGCTGGTGCTCATTACAGATTCAGACTGAGGCTCATTATGGAAAACATTAATAAGCAATATCCTGAAATCATCCCATAAAGTGTCTAATTCTTTTTAAAAGCATTTATGCTTGCCGAACTATTATTATTTATTTAAAACTAATGATGTGTTAGACTCAATGAAGCTTACAGTGTTCTTGCTTGCACTTATCCAGCTATTAATGCCAGGGATCCTTATGTTCATGATGGAAAAAATAATACACACAAAGCTAAAGTGTAATTTCATGTGCAACTAGTTAATCAACAGTGAAGGAAAAGTAAGCCTAACATTCAAGGAGTATTTGCAAGCGTTGAGTGAAAAGCCATAATCAGAAATATAGTATAAAGCTGATAATACAGAGACCTTCCTCCCATAATTCTCGCACTTCTGAGATGACGTACAGTATCTGTTGCATCTTCTTATAGAAATAATAAACTCCAGTGAGTCAGGCATGCAGTAAAAATCGTATTAGGATGAAACACTCTAGTTTAGGGGCATTTTGAATAATTCAATGTTGACACTATTATTAACGAACACAGGGCTTATTCTACACAAATTGGTCTTCTAGACTATGTAATTGCTGCCTGCACTGCCTTATAATTTGTTTAAGCTCATAATTTATGTTCTAGTGTAGGAATCTATCTAGAATATTATTGCTGGTGGCCCCCAATTAAGATCTATTTGAAATTCAATACAAGACAACCAAGAGGTCAGAAATGGTTTCGTTATTGGTCTCCATTCTCTTATGCATTAATCCAAGTGAATCCATGTGAGGCACAAGTTATTAGCCATTATGAATCTCATGGATCATGTAAAGCAAGGCTAACAGTCCTAAATTTCAGCAGTCTGTATGACTACTGGTATGCAACCATGAAACATTTTAATCCTTGATTTCTGCCTGTAAAGCAGCACAATAAAACCTGTGTAGCAAAAAGTTGAATTAGGAGAGTCAGATGACTTCAAATTTTCAGTACTCTACAGCAAATGACCTGGTGTGACCCCCTTACTTGAGTCGCACTGGCTTTTAACCTTCTTGCAGCAAAGCGTCACAAAAGGTAACAGTATAATTACTGTTGCAAGGAGTAAATTAGAAGTCAAATACTCCCTTGTTGTATCAGCAGTATTCCTCAGTAATGAAAACAGAATTAATTCCTAATGTCAGCTGCATCGTAATTGTGTACGGTGCTCCACTGTGACAAAAAGTGGTCCCAGTGTCAGCGCCGTATCAGGGTTGTTTCGGCTGCCTCAGACAGTTGTGAGTTATAGTGCAGATTAAGGTTAAGATTTTTAAACACTGCCAAAATCTGCTTCCATCTTCCCCCACGGTGTCAGGCTGCTCTGGTACGCTGTGAGCTGAGAGCAGGTTCTGCCACCTAGCTGCAGACGTGTGCACGCCAGGCTCAGCCATGGGGGTGTCTGGGCAGCAGAGGGCGCCCTTCTGTTGCTCTTCCCTCCGAGTGTCGAACACGGCAGCTTGTGCCCAGGATGAGGGTCTGACGAGACACTTCCTCCCAGCCGGCAGCCGGCCAACTGCTCCTGCTTAGCATACAGCAGCTATCATCTGAAAAATCCACCTTATTTGTTGAGGAGAAAAAAGGAGTTTATACAGTATCTACAGTGAATCTCGAGAAAGGGCACATGCACTGCACTAAACTACATGTTTTGGTTTCAGCTTGTTGAGGTAAATGGAGCATTCGATAGGAATGTTAAATTCTGGCATTAATGTAGTTAATAACCACAGCTGGTCCTCTGAAATGCATAAAAACAGATTTGTCTTTTCAGTAAAAGCTATTCATGCCAATAAATCACAATGCAATGAATGACATTCAGAGGTCATCTTTAATGAAGGCAGTCTTGTAAAACACATATAAGCAAAACAGTAAATTTCTGGCTGTCTTACATGAGAATTATGACGTGCAGGTTATATAAGAGCAGAACAAATGAGCTTTAGAAGAACTTAAATCTCTGGGAAATACTTTGTAGCTTAACAATTACTTGTTATTTCCAAACAGTTTCTCTATTACATGTACAATATCTTTCTGATGTGCATGTAAAATAACATTACA